TGAACCTTTGGCGGTGTTACTTTTTTCGGCTGCTGCCTCATGGCTTTCAAACAATCGCTCTATATATACGAATTCGCTCATGTACTCATGTATATCATTCACACTTGTGTTCGTCAACCCTAAACCATAAACCCTAAACACCAAACCTTAAACCCTAAACCCTAAATCTTAAACCCTAAACTCGCGATGTAGGACTGAGGATTCGAGGCTTCAGTCCACCAACAGCCTTGGCTGGGGCGAGGCAAGAAAACAAAAAACAGATGTTACAGGCACCGTACATTGGGTGGTTGTCAAAGCTATGATCCCTTTTGGGGTATCCTAATATGAGTGCCGTATGATAAGAGGGATCCAAAAAGGGACCCATAATTTTGACAACCACCCTGCATGCAACCCTACCTCATTACATCTACGAGCTTCTCCTCTCCTACTCTTCTCTTCTCCTCTCCTCTTCTCCCCATCCTCTTTTCTTTTTTTTCCTCTCCCTAAACCCTAAAATCCGCAACCCCAAAAGTTAACAGAAGAGCAACCTAGAAAGAAGATGCTGTACAACAGACAGAGGAGGTGATCCGTGAATGCCCCGTGATCCTTTTGGTGGTGCTCTCTAGGCTATGGAGTATACTGAAGCATACTCTCACTTGAGTTCGTAGGTCAAACCCCCCTGTGATCCAAACGTCTCACATGGGGGGTTTACGATATAAGGCTTATTGGGGTTCTTATTATGTTTTTGGGAGTCTATACTAGGGGCCCCTAAGTATCGTAAACCCCCACATGATATGTGGGGGTTTCCTGAAAATTGGGGGGGTACTTTGCTGAGGCCCTGAGTTTTAAGGATCCTAGCATTCGGGGATCGACATTAGGGGTCCCCGATTTTCGTAAACCTCAATGTCGGGTTGAAGTTTCTCTAGGACCCAGAGCAGGCCCTCATTTCCTTTTTTTAGAGTTCCTGGTTCCCTTATCAGCCCCTGTAAGCCCAAAAGGGCACCCGTTTTGTTCCTAGGCTACTCTTTGGGTCTCGTTCTTGTCAGCGCCCCATCACTCCCACAAAGCCAAAGCCAAGGCAGCCCTGAACGGAAGAAGATGGATAAAACCCTGGGCCCCAGGACCGTCCTTTAATCGAGCTGCATTCCCTGAGAATCTTCTATCATACTGCCAGTTGACACGTAAAACTCTTCCTGAAAAGGCTGGCTTCTTTTTTTGTGTGCGTGTGTGCGTTCCTTCTCGCGGAGGATGGCTTATCTGAGTGTGTGTGTGTGTGTGTTTTTTTTTTTTTTTTGGGGGGGGGGGGGGGGGGGCAGGGGGGGAGGAGAAGCTTCCTGTACCCTGCACCTTTCATGCTCCAGATCGGTGGCAGGTTACCGGCGCTTCGGAAATTCGGTTGAGGGTTTAGGGTTTGGGGCTTAGGGCTTAGGGCGTGCGGAACTAGGGTTAAGGGTTTAGGGATTAGACTTGTTGGGTTTAGGATTTGGGGGTTCGGGTTTTGGGGCAGAACCTTGCGGAAGCAAACAACACCTAGTACCCGGCAAACGAGATCCCAACAACCAAAACCCCGCCTCCGCTTGACGGCAAACCCTCCGGCATCCCAAACCCTCAAGGTTTAGGGTTTAGGGTTTAGGGTTTAGGGTTTAGGGTTTAGGGTAAACCCTAAACCCCTAATTTCTCGGTGCAAAGCAGGTTGAGCATTATTTCATGGTGCCAAGCGCTCTGTGGTCCACGTGCCATATCGCACCAGAGCTGCATCTGGCAGAGGAGGGTGTAGTTGGGCAGCTCTGATCTACGATGGGCCCGCAAAACCCGAACTCTAAACCTTTGCGCTTCAGGGTTTAGGGTTTGGGGTTTGGGGTTTAGGGTTTAGGGTTTAGGGTTTAGGGTTGAGGGTGTGGGGTTTAGGGTTTAGGGTTTAGGGTTCAGGGATTAGGGTTTCTAAGGTTGGAGCCCACCCCCCTAGACAGGAAAGCGCTCAAAGCCGAAGACGCGGGGATCCTTTCCAAAAACCTGGACCTCTAAACCCTAAGCTAGGGAGGGTTCAGGGTATAGGGTTTAGGGATTTAGCATGGTTTGGGTTCATAGACCAATCATCGCAGTTGTGTGTGTGTGTGTGCGTGTTATAATCGCAGTTGGTTCGGTTTACAAGGTATACGAAGGCTGTGAACAGAGGCGGTTCCAGGACCAGTCAGCTCAGTGAAGCTTCAACGCGGTGTTTTTCAAGAGTTGAAGTTTTTTCCCCTGGAACCCCCCCCCCCCCCCCCGCCTCAAACCCATAAGCTCAAACACATTGAACCCTGAACCCGAAACCCTAAACCCTAATTGCTGGTGTGAACCAGCAGGCTGAGCAAAAGAACCCAGTGGAGTGATCAATTCCCTGGCTTCTAAATCCCCAGCTGACATGGCTCACACAAACGCGGAGTGACTCTTTTACACACGGCAAACAACAGAAAGAAAGACCTGAAGATCTGTGACGTCTGAACTACTTAGGCTACGGCACCTACAGGCTAAATGCTGTAAATGCTTGAAAGACATGCTCATGACCCTACTGTGCTTGGGCCTGCATGAGCAACATGACAAAGTTTAAACTACCTGACGGGCCTGCTTAAGAGGAATACGCTTCAACACTCCTCCTTCGCGGCCTCGCCAGGGGACAGCGACCTACACTACCCTACTCCTCTGCAGGTCCTGCCCGTCAGGGTGGAGATTGCTCCCTACCCTATGGCGCTCAGAGCAAACTGCAAATTGCAGTGCAAAAGAGGAAAAACTTGGCATGAATGCGCGATGCGATGCACATCCTGCCCGTCAGGGCGGAGTAGTACCTACCCTGTGCTATGCGTGGTGTGATCTGGTGCACGCCGGTGGCACCGCTGACACACCTCAAATGTGCAAAGATTGGATGACCTTGCAATTGCAGGACAGTCCTTGGTGCGATGGAGCTTCTCCCCCTCAGGGACAGCAAAGTAACGAGTTGGCGCTCCAGCTTCTGGCTGCCTGCGTGCGGAAAGTTCGGCCTCGATCAGTGCTGTGGATTCGGCAAAGAGAGTGGCGTCTCAGGCACCACTTGGCAAGCTCCCACACGGCAATAAAACCAATGCCTACAAAACCCACAAGCAACATGAACATGAGATCCGTGCTTAATTCAACCTGATGTACATCTCCCTCCTCTTCATCAAAGAGCTCAGGCTGACACTTGGCACTTTGGATCTGCATCATTGCAAGCAAAAGGAAAAGCAACTTGATCTGCGGATACTGAGGGTGGGTAGGCAGGTCGGCAGCCACAGCTTCCGCTTGGCGGGGGTCCTCTGGACAGTGCTCGAGCAAACCCCAAATGGCTGCGAGCTCGAGGATCCTCGCTGCAGGAAGCGCTTTCGTGAGGAGGTCTGCAGCCTGCTCCACACCAGGGCAGTAAACGGGGATTATCTCTCCTGCCTCATACTGCTCTCGCAAATAGTTGGCGCGCACCTTCAAGTGGCGGGTTCGCCAAGACCCTTGGCCAATGGCGATAGCAAGCGCAGACTGAGAGTCAACCTTCAAGGTCTTACCCAAGTTAAAGACCCCAAACTCACCCAGCATGGCTCTGCTGACTGTAGTGCAACGACGGCATCAAGTCCTGCGACGAGCTCGGACTCTGCAGTGCTGAGTGTGACAAACGACTGCCTAGCGGAACGCCAACAGACAGGAGAGCCGTAGAGGAAGACAACCCAACCAGTGTGCGAGCGATTGCCGTCTGGCGCAAAAGAGGCATCGCTGTATGCAACTAAGCCCGTGTCATCTGCGTCAGCAGTGAGAGCAAAGGCTTTGGTTTGCTGCACGTATGCAAGTGCCCTTTCAGCGATGCGTGCAGCCCTTTCGGGCGCCTTTGTGCTCAACGTAGCAAGGACACAAGCGGTGAACGCGAGATCCGGCCTCGTTCGCTGGCTCAGCCACAAGATTTCTCCGGTCAGCCTCTGGGCTGTACGAACTGACTCCTCGGTGGGAGACTCATCCGTCAGGAGAGTGTCAAAGGACACCAAGTCCCTTGGGCAAGGGATCTTACCCAGTGCAGTGGGCTTGACGTTGTTGAGGCGTAGCAGCTCCTCTGCATAGGCCTGCTGTGACAGAACAAACCCTAAACCCTGCACTAGGATCTCAACCCCTAGAAACCTTAACGGCTGGTGCGGCGTGGCAAGTGTGAGGGGCGTCGTTTTCCAGATCGACTGGATAGCCTTAGCGAGAGCCTCGATGACTTCAGCACATCCAGCAAGTAGGAAGTCATCAACGTAGGTGATTAAACCTCCCACGACTTGACCATCACTGGTTTGCACGACGCGCCACCAGTTCGTGTCTAACTTGCCCCTGAGTAGCTGCAGCTCAACCCCGTTGGCCATGCATCTAAGGTTAAGAAGCTGAGAGTCCCTAAAGTCTGACCACAGCTTTGGTGACTCCCTGAGTCCATAGACGGCGTGTGTGAGGATCCAAAGCTCTCCCTCCTGCGCAAGACCTTGCCGCACAAGGTAGCGCGGCGGCGTTAGGGCAAACACAGGAAACCCGTCACCCTGGGGAATGGGCGTGAGGAGGAACGCTGAGGTTACATCCAAGATGCCTAGCATCCAACCCCTCTTAGAGCTAATGACAACCAAACAACGAAGTGACTCTGCTGCAGCACCTGACGCGTATATTTCGGTGCCAGTGGAAGGGGCATGGTTTCCACACGCAACAAGCCTCGCCTTGCGTTTGAACAAGCTTGCCTGGGTTGCGTGCTCCCCGTTCCCGGGCGTGGCGGTTTGCACGTCAGGCGGCTTAACAGTGAAAACCAGCTTTGCCGGCACAACCCTCACGTCAGTGCGGTGAAGCCAGTTCCCTTTGCGCACCTCGCTAGGCGGCAAACGGTGCACAGCTTTTTCTATGACCCCGATCTCTTTCAGGATTGACGGGATCCACGCTTCACTGTGCTTTTCCGCCTCTCGCGGGTCGACAGTATGAACTATCTGCAGTGGCTCAGTTAAACCACTGAGCAGCTGTTCAATGTCTGGAGTTTACACTGGCTCGGACTTGCAAAGACGCAGGTCCAGGTCGTCAGACCGGAGTGCACACAGTTGCTGGCCACTTTGGGGGTCTGGAAGCCACACCTCCCACTGCACAGGCTGTTCTGGCCAGGACTCCTCCTCGACCTGCGCATGGGGCTTTGGCTCCAGGGTCTGCAGAACGCAAGGTGTCTGCTCGTGCTGCACCGGAGTGTGCTTGAGGTTCCACGAGACCTCTAGCTCTACAGTTCCAGCCTCTACCTTCTGAGTCTCTTTCCAACCCCCACCCTTCTCTACTTTCTTCGGGCAGTCTTCACCTGCTAGCTCTAAGGGACCCTCCTCAAACATGTCAAACACGTCCAAGCGCCTGACATCTTGCTGCGTTGTGAGTGGCAAGCGTGCTGAAGCAGGGAGCGGAAGCCTAAGGACTCGAGGGCTTGGAGCTCAGACTCTGGCACCTTCCCTAAGGTGTTAACGGTGTAGGCTACGAGCACGACCCTTTCACCTTCAAAAGGGGTAGTAGCATGACGGCGTTTGGGGTCCAAGTAGAAGGGCTTGCCTCTCTGCAGGCTGTGCGTTGTGCCCAACCACTTCTTTCCTGTACCGTCAACTCGTTGCTCGACAGAGCCGTGGATAACATCTCCTGCTCGCAGTTCTACCCACAAGTCTCCGCCTTCAGGAGGGAGCTTGAGTGGAAAGACTACGTTGACAGACCCTTCTACATTGTTGTGGTCTGCATGCAAGGACATGGGGTTCGTATTGGACAGCCAAAGACTTGTGAACTCGGCCTCGGGACTTGCAGACAGGAGCGTCGCGGCCATCAGCTCTGTGAGCCAGGGGTAAGAGTTTGTTGCGCTCGTGGTGCCTACTACACCACCGTGTCGGTACAGGCCGGCCTTAAGAGACTGCAGACGGCTGAACTGGACCAAGACCCACATGGCCTCTTCAAGGTCCCAGTCTTCAAGCAGTAACTCTTTTGCGAAACCCTCAAGGTCCACAACACTAAACCGACTAGCCCTAAACTCCTCCTCAACGGCTTCACATTGCTCAGGCGGACACTCACCGTCAGGCAGTGGGAACAACAAAGACTTGCTAACTGCAGGGCTTGACTTCCCACGGAGTCGAGTGCGACTTGCAGGCACGGGCACGCACTCACCTTCCGGCGGTGGAAGAGGAGGCGGCGGCAGAGGTGGCTCGCCAAGCGCTGGCTCGGACTTCCCACGCACACGCCTTGCCGGCTCGAGCGGCGCAGGCTCCCTCACATCGCCCTCAAACACGCGGTCTGGCATCTCTGGCGAATGGAGGCGTGAGCGCACATGGAGTGTTTGGAGGAAACCGTTGCCCACTCTGTCGTTGCGTAGGACGATGTGGCCATCATTCACAGAAGGCGACAACCCCATGTACTTACCATCTACCCACCTATCCCCTAAGTCACCCCTAGAAGGTCCGTAAAACTTAAGTTTCACAGAGCACGGTGCCCCAAACGGAGCTGCAAGCTTGGACTTGAGGCCAAGCTGTTGCGCACGTTGCTGCGATGCCGCAGTGGCCATTGCACATGCCCACAGCTCTGTTCCAACTTCGGCCTGGGCGAGGAGCGTGCGCGCCCTAGCCTTTAACCAGCGGATGGTGTTCTCAGCTGCTCCGTTTTGCTGCGGCGTATCTCCTTCAGCTGTGGTGGTACGCACCCCGTGCTCGTGAAACCAAGCTCGGGTCCTTTTGTTAAAGAACTCCCGACTTCTATCCGAGTGGAAGCGCAGCACAGTAAGGTTCAATGAGCGAAGTTCTAGGAACACTTGTTGTAGCGCCTCTAGCACTGCCTCGCTCTTGTTTGTGTGCAGCGGAACAACAAACACCAACCTAGCTAGGCCTGGCGGAGCTTCAAACTCACACTTGGCCCTTTCCCAAGGGTGTTCTTCCTTGGGTTTGCTTGGTTTGGCCTTGGCCTTTGCGGCTGCTACGCGTAACGCGCCTGCTTCTTTACACGCGTCATTTTCAGACTCACTTGTAGGACCCTCGGGCAGCACATCCTTCCCGTCAGGGCGGTGCTCTGGCTCCGGCGGGCCTTCCACAACAACGTCGGCTAACTCGTCCTCCCCGCCAGGGTGGAGTAAAGGATCATCGAACCCATCAACCTGCGTTGGGTTGGGTTCGTCCTTTGTTCCTTGGAGTTTAGGAAAACGATAGGACGCTGCTAAAAAGTACCGGAACACGGGCGGGTGTTTGCTCCTACCCTCGGGGTCTTTTGCAGGGACTCTGATGGGGCCAGCCACGTCGGCAGACAGGCAATACACATCTGGATGTGTGACTCCTTGATGCCTACGGCCGGTGCCGGCGCCGCGTACGCAAACTCCACAATCCCTACGGTATGGAACGTGGTTATTTTCTACATGTCGTTGCCAGTCCTCGGGCGTCATGCGGCATAGCTGGTAGCGGGGCCAACATTGCAACGCATGAACAACAGCTTGCACAAACTGCGGCGCCCACGCGGCTAAGTCCTTTGAGTCGCCTTTCCATGCCAGTGTAGGACACTCCTTCCGGAGGCCATGCAAGCCCCTCAGGTCAGGAAGGTTGGTGCCTATTGTGGTTGGCTTTGTGGTTGCGTGTCCTAGGGCACCTTGGTCAAAATCGACTTCGAAAAGACCTGCCTCTAATGCATATGCACACCACAAGTTTGTGTGCCAAAACGAGGGAACCTCACCAACCAACGAATGGCCAACAGGAAGATAGCGATCAACAGGCTGAGGTTGCTCAAGTAAGAATGCCACCTGCGACGAATGGTGCACGGACTGACGATGGACACGCCTTCCGGCCGTCGCTGTTGCATGCAAGAACAACATCCGAGCAAACAGCCCCGTGTCATTGTTCACCAACGCACGCTCACTAGCACTGAGATCGCTCAACCCACACGGCTCACTAGGGGACCTCACTGGCCTTGGGCCTCCAGGTTTATGCCGGAGAACAGACATAGTGCGACAAGGAGGGCCACCAATCACTGCTGCAATGCGCCCATCCTTCGCCGCTTTAAGCAGGAGTGACCAAAGTGAAAGACGGTTCAAATCATGCGCTGCGCACTGAGTCACATCAAGCTCCAACACAACTGTGCCATCACGCTCACGCCGTGCAAAGGTCTTATGAGGGCGCGGGCCTGCAAACAAGTGGACAATCCAATGCCTTGACTGCTGTAGCGCCTTCCTCCTCCTCCTGTTGAGGTTGGGCAAAGCACTGCGCAACATGTCCCACAATGACTCGTTGCCCGCATCACCTTAAGGGACCAAACCTCGCAACGCACAACGGGGAACATCAGTGAAGAACGGTGCATTTGCAACAGCGGCGTCACCTGAGCAGGAAACGCCATCACGGGCGTAGTCCATCAAGTGCTCCCACCAGCTCTTCTCAAGTGCAATCCTGGCCTGACGAATCCTGTCCCTGCCTTCCTCGGTGTGGCGCTTGAGTTGCTCAATTTCCGCCAGCTTTCTCTCCTCGAAGCGCGAAATCAACTCCAACGCCTTGGACTGCACAAGTTCCGGGCAACCATTGCGGACACGAAGCTTCAACTTCCGCCCGTCAGGGAGAAGGAGTTTGCAGCTGCCGGCGGACCACATAAGGGTGTAACCAAGTTGCTCGACAATTGCGCCCATGGGCACAATGGTTTGCACGGAGCCATCCCTCCCGGGAGGCAAAAGCAGAGTGCCACTAGCAGTGAGTCTCATAGACGTGGTGTTCTCCCCCGCCAAACTCACCACCACTTGCGTAGCCTGCTCCCACTCCTCCTGGGATGACGCTGCCCTCATGGCGTGCGTGGCACCCGAGTCCACTAAGGCTAACAACTCCCCACCATCCCCAACCTCTAAGGATTGCACGTGCAGCACGGACGTTTCGGGGGAGCTCCTAGCTGGCTTTTCCTCACCCAAACCAAGGACTGCAAGGCGCTTGAGGGATGCATTTGGATGGGTTTGGGACGTGCTGTTTGACGGTTGCGCTTCACTCGTGCCCGGGCTCACCTCCACCTGCCTCAAAGCCTTCACTGCCTCTTGCATAAAGGACTCTAGCGTAACAGGTTGACCATTCATGGTGATGGGCGTGGCCTGCACTGGCACCTGTGATGAAGCTGAAGCTGGAGGCGACGCGTCCTGTCCTCCCACTCCTCCTGGGCCCGATGCCTGGGGGGTGGTTTTGCGCACCGTGGGCTGCTCATGTGTTTTGGCCTCAGGTTTTGAACCCTTACCTAATGGGCAGTCCTTTGCACGGTGTTCCTCAGAACCACACACCAGGCACTTCTTGAAACGCTCAGCTTTCGAGAGCTCGGTCATGGAGTGAGGGAACTTGCATTTGGGACCATTCCTGCAGCCCTTCGGCGAGAGAAAGAACTTACACGGCTTACCACCGGCTCCTCCAGCACCCTTCCCCAGAGGTTGGTTTCCACCACCTGATGCTTCGGCTGCGGCATTTAATGCCTGGACCTTAGGATCTACCTTCTTAGGGTCTACCCCACCGGCCATAGTTTCAAACTCAGCCAACAAATGCTTGTGGTAGTCTAAAACCTCATCTCCCGACGGGTGAAGGTCAATGTGCAGTGCGCTGCGTACCACCTGAGTGCGAAACTGCACGTCTGGATTCCTGGCAATGTGCTGCGACGTCACGGTGGTCAACCCACGGGCCAAGATGGAGGGATCAGGAGCAACCATGCCACATTCCAAACAACGGCGATGCCAACGACCCCAAGACCTCAGCAAACTCACTCCAGCAACCACGTCCTTAAACGCTGGTGGATCATGCAGGTTCCTGAGTATCAGGTCGCGCTCGTTGGTCCCACCTGGCTGGTAAATCGTATGTAGGCGAAACATGATGTGTGCTGCATTTTGCGTGGCTCTGCGTGCTACAATGTCGGCCTTCACGGATGCGTCCAACGAATCCAACAACATGGCACATGCTCTGGCATTCACACGCGACCACTTGCCCTCAACAATCTCCGTCCTGTCATCCGGGGCCACTCTCAACCGCTCCACGGGGGACGAAACGCTCCAACGGGCAAAGGCATCACGCGCTAACTGCAACACGCTTGTCCACCAAAGCTGCGATGAATCCGACACATCACTCATCAATCCACCAACCAACTCAAGCCAATCCTGAAACTCCAACGACCCACCTGACGGGTTGGGGGCAACAAGTTTGGGCAGTGTTGTGATGCCTGGTTTCACTGCTTCAGGGGCATCGTCACCTTTGACCTTGAGCTGCTGAGCTTGCAAGCTTTGCAGCTGCTGCGCCCCTAAAACCAGTGCATCCACTACGGAACTTGGCACCTCACGTGTGGCGGGCTGCTCATGTGGAGCTGCGGTCTGTGCTTGCATTGACACTACTTCCCGCATGGACCTCTCTCTCTGCTCACTCCTCTCAAGTAGCTGACCTCTCTCTCTGCTCACTCCTCTCAAGTAGCTGCCTCAACCTCTGATTCTCCACCTCCTGCGCCTGGGCTCTAGCCTCAAAACCTGCAAGCTGCCTGGCAACCTCTGCTTGAATTGCCTCTTGAGGGAGCGATGACGACTCGGTACGGCTCGAGGGGCGTTCAGGGGCTGCAGATCTAGGGTAAAGGAGTGGGGCCCTTTGCTCAAGCGCTTGCATGCGTTGCAGCACCTCGGCATTGAGTAATGGGGATTCCCTCCCAGGCCCGGGGCCAAAAGTGGTGGGTGTGCCGATTGAGTCCGGCTGCGGCGGCGAAGCACTTGACCCAACACTCCCATCTCCCAAAGCCCTCACCCTAGACACTGCTCCAGGGCTTGCACGTGTGTGGTGTGGTGGTGACTGGGCCTGCACCTCAGTCCTTGCCACACGGAAAAACTCAGAAACACGAGACATGAAAACACCAGGAATGCCTTCAACCATTTCGGAGATAGCGGGCAAACCCTGTGAACGTGGGGTCATGAACCCCTCAACTCCAGCGGTCTCACCAGTTGACCTTATGCCCCCCAAACCCCTGTCACCACCTTGGTCTGTAACCTGACGGTCGTCACCCAAGGTGTCCTGACGCAGGATGGTGTTGGCCTCTGGTCCTGGACTTCCGTCCGGAGGTTGCACTGCTTGTGGCATGCTTCGGGGCATACCGTGCAATATCCCACCCTCAGTGGTGGTCGACGCATGCTGCACGCCTTCTGCTGGGTCTATACTAGCACGCGTCCTTCCCGCAGCCATATCCACAAAACCCAAACCACCCTCAATGCCGGCGGTGGGTGCATCAGGTGTTGCGGAATGCATATGCTCTTGCAAACCATCCCTCCCGGGAGGTTGGGATGATTGCGGCATCACGGTGCCGTAGCCCTGCGTTGGGCTCATAACCTGCTGGTGTGAACCAGCCGGCTGAGCAAAAGAACCCAGTGGAGTGATCAATTCCCTGGCTTCTAAATCCCCAGCTGACATGGCTCACACAAGCGCGGAGTGACTCTTTTACACACGGCAAACAACAGAAAGAAAGACCTGAAGATCTGTGACGTCTGAACTACTTAGGCTACGGCACCTACAGGCTAAATGCTGTAAATGCTTGAAAGACATGCTCATGACCCTACTGTGCTTGGGCCTGCATGAGCAACATGACAAAGTTTAAACTACCTGACGGGCCTGCTTAAGAGGAATACGCTTCAACACTAATCCTAAACCCTAAACCCTAAATTCCACATAAACCCTAAACCCGAAACCCTAAACCCTTTGCTTCCCCCCAACGCACGGAGGTGTCAATGGACCCTCGACCGGCCCATCCGGCACACGTCTTCGTGCCCAGCTTCACCTATGGAAAGGACTTGGGGTTTAGGGTTTAGGGTTTTAGGGTTTTAGGGTTAGGGCTTTGGGTTTAGGATTTAGGGTTTGAGGTTTAGGGTATAGGGTTTAGGATTCAGCGTCTCAAGTCCAAGCAATCACTAGTAAAGCAGCTTGTCAAGCGTAGGACAAGTAACCGCCCGCGCAAGAATCCAGAACATTAAGAAAATATAAAGTTCACTCAATACAGTAGGCTTAAAGCTCAACGTCCAGTGGACCCAAAACCCGAAATCTAAGGCCCCACAATAGACCCTAAACCCAAGCCCTAAACCCTATGCCCCAAACCCTCGGGCCCTAAACCCTATGGACTTAGGGCCTTAAACCCTAGGCTTTAGGCGCCCCTGTGGGGAGCACTCCAGGATCCGCCCAAAAGTGGTCGATTCCAGTGACGTTTTACAAAGAATTTCTTTAGTAGAAATGACCTCCTCATTTTTCGGCCCTATGCCTCAAACCCTAAAGCCCTAAACCCTGGGCCCCAAACCCTGGGCCCTGAACCCTGCTCCCCACACCCCAAACCCTCTGCAAAACCTACAGGCCCAAAACCCTCTGACCCAAACCCTAGAAACCCAAAGCCCCAAACCCTATACCCCAAACCTTAAGGGCCGTAAACCCTCTGGCCCAAATCCTAAAAGCCCTAAACCCTGTGCCAAACCTTTGGGCCCTAACCCCTGTGCCCCAAACCCTAGGGCCCCTAGAGCCCGGGCATATATTTTGTTCTGGGCTCTAAACCCTGATGCACTTCGTGGGCATATTGCTTTTTTCCGGGCCCCGAACCATAATCCTAAAAATGAGGGGGTCATGTCTGCGATATAAAGTAGGGTTAGGGTTGAGGGCCCAGAAATAAGAACAACAATATGCCCGAGGGTTTAGGGCCCAGGAAAAAAAACAAATATGCCCACGAAACCCATTAATTGTGGTTTATATACATATATATATATATGTATATTTTATGTGTAGTAAGAGAGGTTTAGAAACTAATGCCAGGTCTTGTCGCCGTGCCAGGGGACAAGCCCGAGGAAACAATCTTCCTCAACAAAGGGAGCCTCGACCTCCCCCTCCTGAAGTCGCGGCTAGACGCCTTCGAGGCGAAGCTGGCATCGATGCATGCCTTGCTCAAGAGCAAGGGGCGTGCACAGACGGCGGAAACGAAGCGGCTGCGATTGCCACCAAGCTTCTGTTCTCAGAAGGGAGGAAATCCGGAAGGCAGTCGTGAACGTGGGTAAAAAGGTGGTGGTTATTTCTTTAGCCCATGGCAAGGTATACATGTTTGGAGAGATGAATTCTCCCTTACGACATACCTCTTCCATCGCAACAACCACTTCGTGCAGTTCACCCGGATGGACAAGCGTGGAGCGCAGATGAGTTCGAACACACAGATTTTGGTAGACTTGTTGATGCTCTCGACCCACTTCGAGGAGGTGGTTCCTCCGTCAAAGAAGAAACAGGTCAGGACCCACCTGAGCCTGGCGAGGCCAACTCCGAGGTCAAGGAAGGACAAGCTGCTGACTCTTAGAAGGACGAAGATCCCCTGAAAGCCACAGCCACGGGTTCGTGCTGTCCCTTGAACAGAGGAACCAGTGGAGTTTGCTTCAGGAGATGATTTCTCCTGGTGTCTGCTCTGCTACTGGTGCTAGATGTGAAGCCCTGGCACCATTTTCTGTCATCATTGAACGCACTTCCAACTGTACTGTCCATTTTGTTGCGTTAGGAATCAAACCCGTTGGGCGGATAAGGCCTTCCGCAAGATTGGACCGGGGACCCAACACTGCCAAAGTTCAAGGTGTATGCCTTATCGCTTGCTGAACTTCTACCAGGCGCGGTTTGATGTCCATAAGGACAAGCTGCGCTCCTGAGAGCACTCCTTCGTTGCGGATGGATGGGAGAAGCATGAACAATTCGTTGCTAAGTCTTCAAGAACCGCCTGGCACAGTTCTGCGATCCTCAAAGCTCGCATTGGATGGGGGTTTCTGACTAGTATGAGATGGGATTCAGGGTCAGGGTCTATGAGGTAGTGAGCTCACAGCCCGGGCCTTAGTATCGGAGGCTCTCGCGCGAGAACCCCCTGATCTTCGTTGCAAGCGATTTAGCTGGCGCTGCGGGCATCATGCAACGTTCGCCTTCAGACAGGGGGGGGGGATGATAAAGCCTTTTCTCTTCTTGTCGGTAGAAGTTGAGTAGTGCTTCTGTGGTTAAGAGGGCTCGGGTGGGTATCTCATATCTACGTGAAACGTTAGAGCCGAAAAAAGGCAGTGTTTTTGGGTTGCGGAGCTAAGGGAAAGCGCCCAGCCGAAAAACACAAGGCCCTTTTCAGGTTAGAGTTTCTTATGTATGCCTTTCCTACCCAACAGGGCCCCGTTATAGAGGCATTATAGACGGTACCCGCCTGGGAAATCTCTTCCTGAAGTTATCCTGAAAAGAATACTTCAACCCTAAACCCGAAACCCTGATTCCTAAACCGCTTGCGCCCGAGTTCCAGGAGACGCCGGCGGCTATCAGGAAGAGGCAGGATGAGAGGCTGCGCCTTGCTTGGATCAAGTCTTGTTGGCAGGGGCTTAGGGTTTAGGATAAACCATAAAACCTGAACCCTCAACCCTAAACCCTCAACCCTGCAAGTGGGTGGTTCATGGTTTGGGGTCTGGGCCTCGGGGTGGTGCCAGCAGGCAAGACAGCCCGCTCAAAAATTCGATCTCCTACAAGCCCTAAACCCTACACCCTAAACCCTAAACCCTACTACAAAGCCCAAATACTCAACCGCCGCCACAAACCCTACACACTAAACCCTCCTGAAACCCCTAAACCCGAAGTCATGCTATAAACTCCGAAATCCTGCAAACCCTGCAAGCCCGACACGCCCCAATCCCAAACCACCTTGCAAGCCCTAAACCCGAAACCCTAAACCCTAAAACCCTAAAGAAACCCTAAACACACCCTAAACCCTAATCCCTAAACCCTAAACCCTAAACCCTAAACCCTAAACCCCAACCCCCAAACCCCCAAACCCCCAAACCCCCAAACCCCCAAACCCCCAAACCCCCAAACCCCCAAACCCCCAAACCCCCAAACCCCCAAACCCCAAACCTAACCCCAAATCACCGTTCAAGCCCGTAAGAAGCTGAAACCTGTCAGTTTTACGCACCATCTTGTGCCTCTTCGCCGAGGACGCTTGCAGCCCAGACCACTCGGCTGGCGGCGGGCGCCTCAGGGAATAGCCCCCTACTTGGTTCAGGGTTTAGGGTGAGGGTTAGGGTTTAGGGTTTAGGGTTTAGGGTTTAGGGCTTAGGGGTTAGGGTTTAGGGTTTAGGGTTTAGGTTTAGGGTTTAGGGTTTAGGGTTTAGGGTTTAGGGTTTAGGGTTTAGGGTTTAGGGTTTAGGGTTTAGGGTTTAGGGTTTAGGGTTTAGGGTTAGGGTAGCTAGGATTTAGAGTAGGCGCTCATTTCCTTTTTTGGGGGGGGCTTTAGGTGCCCTTATAAACCCCCATAAGCCAAAAATCCTGGGTCTAGTGGAGGTTCAGGGCTCGATATGTGTGCGAAGGTAGGCAAGGCATGATTTGGGGCCGTTTTGAG